AGAGAGAGAGAGAGAGAGAGAGAGAGAGAGAGAGAGAGAGATTGTCACAGGGATGCCCATCCTACTGTATAGTATAGGCAGCAGCCCAACCAGGAAAAACTTGTTTCATGCTCCAAACATTTTTCATATGTCCAACTGGACATTGGTTGGTTTATAATTACCCCCAGGCTAGAAACCCAATTCTCATATATGTACATGGATATTTTTAATAAAAAGTGAATTTTTCAGAAATGTAATTTCCTTATAAGTGGAGGAATGATTAATTTGGAACTTTACCATGGTTCATTTGTCTGCTTAGAAAATCAAGTCACTGACAGCAATACTATATCTTTATGCCTCCATGAAAACACACCTGTATTGGTTTTTATTCGTAGCTATTACGATGTTCAGGTGTAAGCATCTGATTACTTCATTATTCTTCTCATGTAGCTGTGGCCACATAGTGACATGTCAAAATTGGTGTTATTTTATTATAAATTACTTTATTTCTACTCTTACTTTAGATAATTGTTGGAGTAGTACACTGATTTTTTTTAACCATACAAGGCAGAATGTATTATACATGCCATTTTAGGTGATAAAGAGGCATTACAAAGTGTTTGTTATAGAAAGGGCCATTTTGGTCTGCCAACACTCACTGACCCTCTCATGGGCATACCTGCTTGCAGACTGAAAGGATCTTGTAGGGGCTAGAAATATGGTCCCTGATAAAGGCTTATGGGGTTCTGAAATACATGTATAAACATGAATTTCCCAGCTCAATATCCAGGGAATATGCATCTGATTCTGATTGGGAAGGCAAAGAGAGCCTTTGATGTACTTCAGAAACCTCTGAGAAAGGCTTCTCAGGGCCTGGTGAGTGGTATGCACTTTCTCCCCAGTTCCGCCTGCGGTGTTGTTTTGTGCCCATATTCTGCTGGCTGAGTCACACTGTTTGTGGTCTGTTTGGCATTTTGCAGTTGCATTTTAGAAAGGAGAGACAGGCTGCTCTGGTGATTTGACATGCAGCTAATGCTCTCCTGGAGCTTCTAAGAGCTGCCAGAGGAGCCTGGAGGAGGGTGTTTCAGCTAAATAAAAAGGAGATAGCACAAATCCCTTTTCTTCTTGTGAATCTCGATTCATTTGCTCATTTAACACATATTAATTGAGTATTGTATGGGGAACCCTAGTTAAGTCTTTGCTGATAACAATAATGTAAATAACAAAAGCAGGTCACTGTCCTCATGGATTTATTGCTCTAGCAAGGGAGATAGTAAGTAGAGTGTGTGTGTGTGTGTGTGTGTGTGTGTGTGTGTGTGTGTGTAGATAGAAGTAGGGACCATGAAGAAGTGAAGGGACCATGAAGATAAACACGTTAGGGTAAGGCTAGAGGAGGGTTATTTTAGAAGACTTGCCAATGAGGCTGAAGGAAATGTCATTGTTAGGGAACAAACCAAGGTGGGGAAGGAAGCCATGCATTCATCCAAGAGGAGAAAATTTCAGACAGGAAGGTGCAAGGTGACTTTATGGAATGTTAAAAATAGAGAGAAAGGAAAGGAAAGGTGCATGGAAGTTAAATATCCAGAAGAAATGGAATGCACTTCTATCTCACCTTTGCTGTTTTCAGCCCTAGAGGACAGTGTGTATTAAAGGAAGCACCTGAGTTAACAGGGCGATCTTGGCATAAACAGCTAATTAGGTCCTAATCTAATTTACTCCCAAGTTATGCAACACAGAGTTTTAATGGGTGACTTTATTCATAAGGAGAAAGATTAGGAACCAAATGTTGGCCCTTGAAAGAAGCCCAGATGGACTRATGAGTCTCACACATTACTTTCCAAGCAGATAAAGATAGAAGTGCTATACACAAACTCCTTCCTTTTATGGGCTTCCTGCAACTAGTTTGGTTTTGAAACATTTATACGGTTTTGCAATCCAAGGAGGGRCATTGCTTACCAAGGATGATGACAATGCTGTACTTGATGGCCTTAATTTTTGCCTTTGAGATGAGCCCTCGATTGTAGCTGGTGCACAGTTTCCCATCTGTAGATACAACAGGTGAATGGTCAACTGGAGTGCTCAAGATGTGTCAATTTCTGTTTCTACCAGTAGAAACTTTGAAGGTTAGACCTGTGGCTTTCAATGGATGGGACCACTTATGTCCTGCTTGCCTATGACTAGAAGGCTTTCCTCAGATAGTTTTAGGGTGAAAATGGCTCAAGGATGGTTGCTGGAAACTGCTCAGTTTGAAACTTAACACATTATGCGAATGCTGTGGGATGCAGACATGGTCAGATGGTCTGAATCAGCTGCAGCTGGAATTAGACCATGTGACCAGAGGGGAAGAGACCTTCTCTGTTGGGGACTGTTTTCCCGAACTCCATGCTATGCCAAGACTCTTATATATTTGCTTCGGCAACCTGAGCAAAAGTCATTTTGCTAGGATGGTCATCCCAGACCAACTCATTCATCTAACTCAGAAACTTTACTCAACAAAATTCAAGCTCAAAATCTCCCAACAAAAGCTCCAACACAAACAACTGGCATACATCTGAGCTTGGATATAACTGTAATCGTATTGGGCTATCATGTGATAGTAAAACACTTGTGGGAGGGGTGAAATAAGAATTCACTACAATATAAGCTAGAGGAGCCYAGGAGTTTTGTTTTCTCCATTTATGTAATACTGATACGAATATAAAATGTTTACTTAACATTAATGAATCAATAATAACTTCTCATAGATGAGGCAGGGGCAAAACATCATGGACAGAATTCAGTGCAATAAGAGGAGAGAGATGGTAAATTTGGGGGTGAAATGTTGGTCCTGGGTCCTTTGCTTCTGTGAAAGAGATTTTCCTGTTAGAACTTTACCAGMTCATATGGTACCTTCTAAGAAATTTGGAAAAGGTCTCCTTCCTTTGGATGGACACAGACCTGCCCCAGAACATACCTCAGGGAGGGAACAGGGAAAAAAAGCCAGCCTCCCTTCTTACATGATTCAACTTGGTGCGATTGAGTTGGACAAAATGGTTCAGCCCTAGTAACAGCCCAGCTCAGAGGCCCAGTCAGCATCTAAGCCAAATGGGGCAAGGCTGTTGTCCACTAGGRAGGCCAACTTCAGYTGGAAAATGCWGAGAACATCGAGTCAATTTTGAATGACATGAGAGGSATTCCACAGGAAAGATGGAGGTGCAGGTACAGCACTGGGAGAGATAGGGAAAGCAGAGGGAGCATTCTCAGCCGAGACATGAAACAAGAAAAGTGGAGGATGTGTTAGGACCATGGTGAGTCATCTTGTTTGGATGTAGCCTGCAAGTGCGTGGGGTTTGAGGGTGCAAAGAAGAACTGAGCTGGGAAGACCTTGAATATCTTTGAAGAAGTCTGTGCCGAATTTCTGAGGCAGCAAGTTTCAAACATTTTTGTAGTGTGAATATTTCTTCATTGAAAAGGACACACTATTACAAATGATAACAGGTTTTTAGGTGCAAATAACTAAAATACTTATAATCGATTCTTAYTTCTTAAGGCATACCCCACAAGGTCACTCTTATTTATTTATTTATCTATTTATTTGTTGTGGTGCTGTGGATTGAACCAGGGCCTGTGCATGCAAGGCAAGCACTCTAACAACTAAGCTATATCCCCAGCCCAAGGCCACTCTTAAATATTGTTAAGGTCTTTAAATTATTCAGTGCATTTCCTAAAACCACAGAACCCAAGCACTGTAAGGCAGCAGATGCTTCAGAAACATTTATAGCAGTGGTTCTCAACTGGGTGTGATTTTTGCCTTCCAGAGGACTTGAGCAATGCCTAGACCCAATTTTGGTTGCCACAACTCTGTGTGTGTGTGTGTGTGTGTGTGTGTGTGTGTGTGTGTCCAGTGGGTAGAAGGGCCAGTAATGCAATTAGACATCCTTCAACATGCAGGACAGTCTTCTCTCCTTCAACAAAGAATTATACAGTACAAATTATTGAAGGTGCAAAGGTTGAGAACCATGATTTCCAGGGTCGTATCTTGGGAGGGACGCAGGCTTCAGAGTCATACCTGAATCTACACTCCAGCTCCACCAATGACTGTCTGTGAATGCTTAGGCAAATAGCCTAAGGTTCCTAGTCTCAACTTCCCCATTTAAAAAATGAATCATAGAACAGTAACCTCACAGAGTTACTTTGAGAATTATAGTAAAATAATGTATTCGGGGTGCCAAGTTTCATGCTGGGATGTCAGTTACTCTGCCAATTGGGATGATGAAGTTTTAACTGCATTTTTAGGAGGAATATGAGCTTTCTCTTTATGGAAGAAAACATGAGATATTACTACCTTATACAATGTTATCTTTAGTCAACAGAAAATTACCAGGGTGGGATTATTCCTGTGGGAGACAAAGAAAGATGATAGCAGACCAAATTATATCTTTTTGAAGTGTCTCCACTTGCTGGTCCTAGGTGACAGCTGGGTTCTAAACAGTGTGTAACAGCTGGGTTTTAAAGACATAGTTGGTCATTCCAAAAAGTTTTTGAAAATGACATTTGTGCTCTGAAATCTGTTTAAAATGGAAACTCAAAATACTTTCCACAAGGCTACTAGGTGACAATATAATCAACTACCTTGCTCTCCGATCTGCCAATGAGATCAGTGAAAAGCGTCTTTAATCTGACCACTTCAGGAAATGCAAAGCCCCAGCTTCCAAAGATGGCTCTTCAAAGAGAGCTGAGCTACAAAATGCCGGTAATTCTCCTTTATTGGGAGATAAAAGGATTATTTCTACTCAGGCTTTGCTGCGGAGCTGGAGTGAAAAGCAGTGAAATTCAGCTGTCACTGTGCATTAATGGCTTGGGCAGCCTGGAGGCAGTGGACCTACTAGATCTGAGACTGAAAGGAACACATTATTTAGACTGTTTAGTTCCAGGGTGAATCCCCAGTGGGGTCCCTGCCCCAAATATAGTCTCCAAATGGCCAGTTCCAACTCTCAACTTTCTCCAGGCTTCAGGCCCCTAACTGAGCTGCTGGGAGCCCATTCTTCATGTGGGCTGAACACCTGAAGCTGGAGCGATGGGTCCCTTTGGATTTTAAAGCAGGCAAAAATTCATTCCTGCCAGGTGGGGAGGTCCATCTGTGGGCCTATAGTAAGTGCAAGTGATTTGTTTAGAAACAAGGAAGCCTTACTGGCAATATTTTAAAATAAGTATGTTTCCTGTGTTGGAAAATTTGTGTCCTTCAGGTTGATTTAAAAAATTGAATACACTTTCTTAGTAATTTTTCCAGATTACTAAAAGTTTTAAAGTTTAAACATTTATTTTTAATTATTTGTGACTTTTTATTTCCAAATATAAACCTGAATGCTCCCAGAAATCATTAGTTAAATTTGTGTGTGTGTGTGTGTGTGTGTGTGTGTGTGTGTGTGTGTGTGTGCATTTGACCTCCTCTGCTTAGCTGTAGGGGACTGGGCATTTTCTTCCCAGGATTCTTTTGACTTTTTGGTTTCTCCGGTAAACTCAAGGGGGGTGGAGTGGTCTCCAAGTGTTCCCGGATCTTCCCCTGGCCACCACCTGTGCCTCAGTGGTGACCTTATCTGAATCATGCTTTCCATGGTCCCTGCTGCTGCCCTGGGCAGCACCAGGCCACTCCACCCAGACCTCCCCTTTGTTATCCATCCCCTCTGGAGGGGCTGTGGCCGGGCACCATGTGCTTGGTAGCTGCAGTCACTTCTAAGCCACTCCTGCAAGTTCCCTTTATTAGAGTTTGTGCCCCTGGGCAGTTGCTTTGCTCTCTGTTCACTGCTCTTGGCCTCAGCTCTGTGTCTGGGTTGTGAATTATTCAGCATTGCTGCTCTTTCCTGGGATACCTGCTCTCAAAGTGCTTCTGCAGGAAACAAGTACATGTCTTCACTCCTCTGTGTTCTGAGGCTAGGGGCTCCTGTAGTAGCCACCTCACCTAAGTTCCCAGGGCTTTCTGCCTCCTTAGCTTCACAGTCAGCTTTGCCCTCCACAGCTGTTGACAAGAGGCTGGGGTGATTAGGTTGGAGCAGTCATGGGTGACCCAGAACTTATATCTCCTTTTGACCTTAAGGCCCTTGGAGGACTTATTCCACCCCCTGCTTTTTTTCCTCACCAAGTGCTGCCTTTCTCCCCATTAGCTCGACATACCTGCATATATTTGAACTTTCAGGTTAAATTCCTTTTGAGTTATTTTCCCAAAAAGAGGTTTTCAGCCCAGTGCCAACTGTAGGTCACAGTCAGATCTGAAAGGTATCACCTGACGTACCAGTTAGCCATGTCTGCACCTCAGTTCTTAGCTCAGGCAAAACCAGGAATCCAGGCAGGCCTTTAATAATGCAGAGATGAGTGAGCTGTCCATCAAACCCTTTCCTTCTCTGGGGCATGCAGCTATACTATGTTCCCCAACTGCCTTTTTGGCAGGTTATAGTCATGAGACTAAGTTCTGCTTTAGGGGACTAGGGGAAGAATTGATGTCTCTCCTCCCCAGATCTGACTCCAATAAGCCACAGAGAAACCCTCCACTTTTCATCCCACCCCTGCCTTCTGCACGCAGGTGCTGAGGAATACCTTAAGTAGCCCTTTGTTAAATGTAGCAGAATTTTCACCTACTTGAATTTTTGACCGTATGGAACGATGCCCTTCCCTTTGGCCTTTACTGCCATTTGGAATTTAATTGAGCAAGAGATAAACCTAGGTTTTGTTAAGGGTATTGGTGTTTCGGAGTTGACACAGTTGCTTGCTTGTGTTTTCCTAACTAAAACAGAAACTGGTACCTTACATGCAATGTTGTCTTGATAAAAGTCTAACATGTGGCACTGGCTATGTGGGCAGGCAGCAGGTGGCAAGGACACTGAGACTGGAAGCTGGGACTCTAGCGATCCATTTGTTAGAAGTGCCACGTATGATGCCTGGGAAGGCAGACTGTGYCTACTGAGCCTGGATCCCAGGGGGTGAGGTTGGTAAAGTGAATTTTAATAGTGCCTATTGATTGTTACCAGCTGTGTTTAGCAAGGAATTGGGAAAAAGAAATGAACTCAGATAAGAGTTAGTTGGTTTATGAGTAAAAATAAAAGGAGTTTGAGAAAGTCCCCCAATTTGGGATCTTGCAGAATGGCAAATGCCAACAGCTTCTAGTCTCAAAGATCCTGGCTACGTACTTTGTGTGGGTCAAGGCAAAATGAAAATGGAAACAGAACATGAAACCAAACATGAGCCTTTCTTTTTTTGGTGTGTGTGTGTGTGTGGGCGTGTGTGTGTGTGTGTGTGTGTGTGTGTGTGTGTGTATACCAGAAATTGAACTCAGGGGCACTCGACCACTAGTCACCTCCCTAGACCTATTTTGTATTTTATTTAGAGACAGGGTCTTGAGTTTCTTAGCACCTCGCTTTTGCTGAGGCTGGCTTTGAACTGGAAGTCCTCCTGCCTCAGTCTCCACTGGGATTACAGGCATGTGCCACCGTGCTGGGCATRAGCCTTTCTTAAATGCACAGGTCCTAGCCAATAAACCTGGCCCTGGTCTCCAATTTAAGCTATAACACTGAGAGATTTTAATTAGAAAATATCCATTAAAATTTATTCTTAAAGCAAAGATCAGACTAGGGATGTGGCCTCCCACTTATTGTTTCTGATGATCTTCAGCTAGTTTCCATCAAGTTGATGGGTAGGGATTGGTTGAGGAAGCACAGAAAAAAATTAGATCTGAGAATTTTATTAAGAAAAACGTTTTAATTATAGTTTCTAGCATGTAAAATCAGAAAGAAAATAGATAAGAGTCTACTAAGTTTTTGAAGAATTATATTTCCAAGGAAACCATAAACCATGAGATTCATATCTTTGCCAATACTTAGAATTATCAGATTTTTACAATTTTACTAATTCCGTGGTAGAAAGTTATTGAGATTTAAACATGTACTTTCCTGAGTACTGATGAAGTGCTGAATCTAATTTTTGGCTATTCCTGTTTCCCTTTGTGGTGATTTTTAAAATATTTGTCACTAAAAAATGTTCTTAAAATTGATTTTCAGTAGTTCTCCGTATATTCTGCATACTATCTTTTCCCAGGTATATGTGTTGTAAATAGCTTCTCCCAGTTCGTGCATTGATAGTTTATGTGTCAACAGAGTCAAATTTATGCATTTTTCCTTTTATAATTCAATGTATCATGTATCTTGTTGAAGAAAACCTCCTTTCCTCAATGTCATAAAGATACTGTCTGCTTTCATTTTGAAAGTCTTCATTTTCACATTTAAGTCTCTAAGTCCCTTGGAATTTGTTTTTGCTTATGGATGGAGGTAAAGATCTGATTTCATTTCTTTTCGTATGATCTTCTGACATCTATCAAGTTCTCATATATGTGCAGGTCTGTTTGGGGCTGTTTTATTTTCTATTTGTCTATTGTATTGTGCCAACACCACACTCTATTAACCACAGTGACTTTGTAATAAATCTTAACATTTGGTACAGCAAACCTCTTCTGCATTGTTCTGCTTCTCCAGGAATGTCTTGGCTATTGTTGGCTCTTGATTTTTTAGTGTATATTTTAAAAGCAGCTTATCAATCTCAATATACTAGTACAATCCATTTTTTTATTGGAACTGTATTAAATTTTCGATTGGTTGGGAAGGGTCATTGCTTTGTGATATTGAATCTTACTATCCAAAAACATGTTATAATATTTATTTATTTGTATCTTGATACTTTTTTGAACATATTTTGTTAAATGTAGTTTATCTGTAGAGAGGCCATTGTATTGATGGTTACAGATGGGGATGCTAAGACCAAGTCTGCTTTCATTTTGAAAGTCTTCATTTTCACATTTAAATCTCTAAGTCCCTTGGAATTTGTTTTTGCTTATGGATGGAGGTAAAGATTTGATTTCATTTCTTTAATTATAGTTTCTAGCAATTAATGGGTTTATCTTAAATGTGTTAATCTAGACAGTGACAGAACTCTAACCCACTTTCTAATCTATGCCTTTTTTCCTTCACCCCATTCTGCCTCATTTAATCTGAAACATGCACTTTTGAGACAGCATGGATCACATCACATCTGACAAGCCATAACTGCTAGACCTAGTCCCATCCAGATATGTTATACTTGGTTTACTCTTTGGGTGAGCCCCCCACCCCCAGTCTCCTGCCTCCACGTGGGAAATGTTCTAGTTTATAGGACATTAAGAGCATGGATATAAGAGCATGCTCATTTTATGAAAGACCTGTGCAAGGTTGGGAAATTGATCCACCTATCACCCTTTACACTTGTTTGGGGGAACGTCTTGAGATCATTTATAAACCAGTTTTGCTTTTTCTTTCAGTCTGCCTTTGAGTGGGAGAAAATAGACATTATTTGTCAGCAAGAAGAATGGTTCCTACATGAAGGATGGCTTGAATTTTGCAGCCAGTGTTTACAAAGTGAGCTTCTGTTCACACTAATCATTGCTAATGTCCTCTTGTTGATGAGCAATAATCCTGGCATGCCAGCACCACTGGAGTTCCTGTTTACCGGCCAACTCCAGCGTTGTTTGGCTGTTATGACAGATAGCAAATCAAGTGAGATCCATTTGTGAAGAAGACACAGAAAACATATAATCTTTTGAGAATACCAGCTGGCCTCATTCCAGAAGGAGGTCACTAATGGTCATAAAGGATAGAGACAATGAAAAATAGTGTAACAGGGATGCACAATTACATTAAAGAGTAAAAACTGTAGCATTTCTACCTCCAGGGAGGGCATTTCAATGGAAAAAAAAATCTCTAACCTTCAGTACTGAAGGTCGTTGGGGGGAGTCTAACAGTGCAGGGACTGGAAGATGTAGTAAAAKCGAGTCAGGGGGGACTCTGGAGAGACACAGGACCTCAACCATAGTGAGAGGAGGATTTCTGGCAAAGAGGGGCAGGTAGCTGACAGCATGTGGAAACCTTCTGTCACCCCAAACTTCCAGAAGCATCAACTCTCTTCCCTCTTTTGAGTTGTCAACTCGTGGAAAACAAGGTGGGCTCCAAACTCCGAAGCCACAGCAGTGTAGGGAGCAGAAAGCTGGAGAAGGGGAGCCAGTGAGGTTGTGTGCTCAGAGGGGCAGGCAGGGAGGAGCAGGCCTGCCTGCTGGGATTGTAGAAACCACAGGACAGGGGCTTAAATGAATTTAATTATCTAAAAGTACTGGAAGATCTAGCTGTTTCAGCAAAGTTGGCCCTAAACATACCAGTCATGAGATTTTAAATATATCCAAATAAAAACTTCCGAAAATGAGACAGGGTGGTGCTCTGAAGGCAACAGGAGAGTGCCACAGAGGAAAGGCCATGCCAAAGACCTTGAGCTTGGATTTTAATCAAAAGCAGTTTTCTTTCTTTTTTTTTCTTTTAGTCATTCACCATTTTTATTTCTATAATGTTCTTCCTCCTGGGAGGATCCTAGCCTGATTTAGGCAAGAAAGCATGGGCTCTCTGGTCAACCATGTACATTCCTGGTCATGTCACATGCTACCCATAGAAACAAGCTTAACCTTTGAATCTTTTATCTGGAAAAGACAATCAATAAGACCACCTCCAGTGGTTTGTAGGGAGTAAAGGAGATAATGCATGGGAAGGATCTAGTGAAGTGGCTAAGAGTGAAGTGGCTAAGAGTGAAGTGGCTCTCCCTGTCCCTCTGGCCTGTGTGTCTGGGACACAAGGTCCTAGACTGCCAGCTGCCTGCAGTCAGGAACTTTGCTATGGACTCATTTGTCATTCTCAGTCCTTTTTACAACTCCTGGATGCAGAGCACTGCAGAACTGAATGGAATTCAGAGGAGAACATGAAGACTTACATCTCTACTCATTTTCCTAGGGAAAGAGACAGATCACCAGTGTCCAGTGACCCTTGTGAATCCTCTTGGTTGGCCCACATCACATGGGAAGAAGGAGCTTCTAAGAGGATGCAATAAGCTCCATCTTGGTCCAATGCAGGTGGGTTAACTCCATGTCTGAAAAGAAGAGGACTTATAGGGGGCCAAGTTGAGCCCCTCATTTTAATATCTTGAAGCCCAGAGAGGTTACATGACTTAGCAACTATCACATTATAACAAACATAAAACCAGCAGCCCTTTTTACTCTTTCTGGCTGTGTTTTCTCCAAGGTGGTACCTGAGTCAGGCCCAGGAAACTTGCTTGGGAAGCAGAGCCAGCCTCTAGGTCTCAGAGCTGTTGCTTAGGAGGTGTTGCATATCCAGGTTCACAGAAAGAAATTTGGGAAGGGTCCTAGCGAGCCAACTCAGGTGCAGACTAGTTTTAAGTTGGTGTGTTGAGGCATCGAGGAAAACATATGGACCATTCCTTAACTGGCTTGGAGCCCAGGATCATTCTGTGGACAGATGGCAGATTTACCCATCTCTAAATCCAACAGAAAGGCCCAGCCTCGTGTTTGTTAAATGCATGGTTTCTCTCATTCCTGCATCCTCCAGGGTGCTGCCTGCCTGACCTTAGATTAGAGAGACTCTCAATCTTGGCCCAAAGACTGCTTCTCCCAGTTTTCAGGGGGCCAAGTGGGGAAGACAGTGCCTCCCAGAGACAGCGTTTGGTGGGTTTGATCTGTGAGATGGGTCCTGATATAATTGTGCAGGCTTGTATAAAACCGTTCAGGAAACCCCAGCTCATGTTTATATACCCAGGAAACCCCAGCTCATGTTTGCTAGAGGAAAACCTTTTCATGGGCAAAATTAGTCACAAACTGGGTGATATGGAGACTTACCCGAGCAGTTAGAAATCACCATCTCCTGGGCTTTGCTTTTAATCCAAATAGTTCGGATCACAATGCCATAGATGACGCTGCAGAAAGGACCAGAGGGAATATTAAAATACCTAGTGGGTCCCTCCTGTAAGGACAAACAGGGTGACTACTACCACTTTCCTGATGATGAGCTCCCAACCAACCTGCTGGCTACACTTGCTGAAACTGGGAGAACCATAAAAGGTCATTGGAATGGAGCTGCTTGTATTTTAAGTGAGAAGGTCAGGACCTGGGGAAGTCAAACAATCCAGGTGCTTTGAGGGACAGCTGTGATGAGAATCCAAACACCAGCTTTGCTGTCAGAAAGACCTGGGTCTCCCCTGTCACGTACTGGCTGTATGACCTTGACTGTGAACATTTAGGTGGCCTCTGTGCACTTGCCTCTGCTACTGATGCCTTTGCGAGACCCTCTCCCTTGCATGTGGACAAGACCTGCAACTTGCTTCTGATCAACCCAGTGTGCTGCACCTGATTACATAGGGTGAAGCACCTGCCTGTCTCTTTTGCTGGCTTTAAAGAAGCAAGCTACTGAGAATCCTGCTGCCCCAGTGAAATTCATTCTGCTAAAAGCCAGAGGAAACTTGGAAAAGAGCCTTCTCCCGCTGACCCTCTGATGACCCCCGAGTCCTAATCCTAGTTAGCACCAGATGACAGCCTTGCCTAAGCAGGGACCCTGTTAAGCCCTGCCCAGACCCTTCACCCACAAAAACTATAGATAACAAAGGCATTATTTTAAAGTCAGTAGGTTTCTGATGATTTGTTCCATAGTAGTAGATAATACAATAAACTTCAGTTGAGAGTCTATAAAATGGGGTTAATAATACAAACCTCTGAGGAACATATATATATATATATATATATATATATAGTGTTTGTGTGTGTGTATATATATATATATATATATATATATATATAAAATATAAATAATATATATATGTATACACACACACACACCTCTGAGGGTTTTTTTTTGAGTATAAGAACATTTTTCTATAACTTTTTTAACACTAAATTTGTCAAAGGATGATATTACAGTTTACATACAGTTCTTGGATGTGGTCACATAATCCCTTAATTTAAAATGTACACTTATTTTTTTTGACATATCATACATTTGAATCAGATGAGATGTAATTTCTCATTTTTCTGAGTGTACAGGTTGCAGAATTACATTGGTCATGCAGTCAYGTATATACCCACAGCAATAATAATGTCTATTTTATTCTGCTATCCTTCACACACACACCCTCTGAGTTTTTTGAGTGTCAAATATGATAGTATTTAAAGTGCCAAACATCTTTTCGTAGCTTGAAAATCAGTACAGTCTTGAAAATGTAATTTCTCCATTTTTAGGTTGGTTTTTTTTTTTTGCCTGTTTTTCACATTATATCATTCACATTCTTGAATGATATCAACGGGTCTAACAGGATATTAATGATTCACACACATCATCAAAGTTTGCATTCTAAGTCTCCTTTGTTAAATATAAAACCTTAGACTCTTTTTAAATGTTATTTGACATTTCAAGTTTATTAAAGCACCTCAACTAAAAACTTTGGGACAAAGCACTGCTTTATTTTAAAACTGCATCATCTTTCCTCTTGTGAATCACTAGTTCAAAAAAAGAAAAAGAAAGAAAGAAAGTAAAGAAATCAGAGCTCCAGTTTGTAGTAACTGATACAGCACTAGTTGCTTTTAATGATCTTTAGACTATAGCTTAATTAATGACTGTGCAAKGACGGTTGGAGCACACCATCCCTTACTGCCTCTCCCACTTGAGAGCAAGCTCCTCTGAGTGCTCCAGGAAAGCTCGGGGCCTTTTTGGAGCATCCTACTCCTTTTCATATTCCTTCCCGGGGACTTTTCTGGAATTTATATGCCTACATTACAGAAAAAATGGGGAAAAACTTGTGAGTCTAWTCTTTACCCGAAGCTGAGTGTTTCTTAGATCAGAGAAACTTGTTTCCTAGGAAAATGAAACTCAAGGTAAGGTTACAACTACCATGAAATGTTAATGGTGTCTGGCAATTAGAACCCTAGTATTTAATTGATCAGTAATTCAAATATCTATTGACCATCAACCCATATGCATAATAGAAAAGTTCAGGAAGGTCCTATGAGTTAGGGATTTTCTTTTCCTACTTAGGACCAATTTTTTTTTAAATTTTTTATTGCTTGTTCAAAACATTACAAAGTTCTTGACATATCATATTTCATAATTTGATTCAAGTGGGTTATGAACTCCCATTTTTACCCAGTATACAGATTGCAGAATCACATCGGTTACACATCCACGTTTTTACATATTGCCATACTAGTGACTGTTGTATTCTGCTATCTTTCCTATCCTCTACTATCCCCCCTCCCCTCCCCTCCCATCTTCTCTCTCTACCCCATCTACTGTAATTCATTTCTCTCCCTTTTTTTTTCCCCTTAGGACCAATTAGATAAGTGGAAAGGTAGGACCAGCTTCACTGTTAGCCAGGAAAACACCTGGTTGCTAGGGTATCCCTATCAGTTACTGCTCAAACCAAGCTATTTTCTCACAATGTAGCAGCCATGCATCACAGAGACACCTACATAATTTTTGTCTTCTTCTTTCATAGCACCATTCCTTCATTTAACTAATCAGCAAGTTCTTTTTTAGGGGGTGGCAGGGTTCCAGGGATTAAACTCAGGGGCACTGAACCACTGAGCCACATCCCCAGCCATATTCTGTATTTTATTTAGAGACAGGGTCTCACTGAGTTGCTCAGTGCCTCACTTTTGCTGAGTCTGGCTTTGAACTCGTGATCTTCCTGCCTAGCCTCCTGAGCTGCTGGGATTACAGATGTATGCCACCATGCCTGGATTTTGTGGATTGGCCCTTAAAAAATGACTTCATCAAATCCACCTTTCTCTCCACCTCTCCTCTTTAGCATTAGGACAAATATTTGCAACCTTTTTTCATTTTGGCAACTTCTCTTATTGTGGTAAAATATACATAAAATTTACTATTTTAGTCATTTTTAAATGGTGCAGTTCTATAGCACTAGGTACATTTACACTGTTGTGCTACCAAAATTACCACCCATATCCAGAAAGTATCAATTTCCCCATTGAAACTGTCTCCATACAACACATAGACACAAAAATGAAAGTTTCATGAATTTGTGTTTCATCTTTGCACAGGAGCCAGGCTAATCTCTGATTAATTCCATTTTCAGTATATGTGTTATCAAAGAAGTGCCCTGATAACTGCTTGCCTCATTATTGCCATATCTTCAATCACCCACACTATGCTGTCACCTTTAATGCCCATGCCACCATCAGAGCTGGAGCTGTAGGATAGAAGACCATTCTTTGGCTCAACCCTCTCCCCAACCCCCGTGGTTCCACTTTCCCACCAGATGCTATCCAGTCTCTTTAATAGGGCATCCAATCTTTCCACAGTCTACCTGGGCCTTCCTCACCCTCACCATCATCCTCCTACACCTCCACTCACTGTCTTTTGATATATCTTTTCCCAGGTTGGTCAATCAATGCAAGTAGGCCAACAGACGTACCCTGACTTCATGCTTTAGATGCAGTAGTCTGGATGAACGTGAGTTCCAGTTCTTCCCTGATCTCTGTGCCCACTTTATCCTCTACCTGGAACATATTTTCTTCCTTTTCAAACACATTCTCTACAAATTACTCTTATATGAAAACTTCCTGAGTTGCCTTCCCATGATTATCGGCTTGCCCTTCCTTGGGGCCTCTGTGGTAGGAGAACATTGGCTGCATGGAGTCTTGTCAATGGCAGTCAGGTATTAGAGATCAGCAGTTATGGAAGTAGCCCATTCTCAGAACACAGCTAAGAAAAAGCATCTTTGTTACAACTTCTTCCTTGTCTTTGGTCTATCTTTGCTCTCCTCAATAGGCTTAGCTTTTCTGGAAACATCTTTGAAATCTGAAAACTGAAGGACTTCTCAGATTGAGGAAAGTATCTCTTTCCTGAACTGGCTGGTCTAGTTCCTCATTTTAGAGGAGAAAATCTAAACACAGAACTCTTTTCCTTCATGTCATTCACAGAGGCAACCCACGGTAAGTGGGACAAGGAGAGATCCCAGGTGACCAGAGTGAGACTCAAAGGACTCTAAGGAGGATGCCTGAGGATAGTTTCTGAGTTTGTCTTCTGAATCATGTATGGTAAGCATTCAGGAAACAGAAAAAGTAGTTTGTTCTCCCACAGGACACAATAGACATTGCTCCACTGAGATTACAAGGACTTCCTTCAAAAATCTCCACAGGACTTGGCCCAGGRTTTGGATTTGTTGGATACCTCTTGCAGTCTTGAGCCATAAACCTACAGAGTCAGAGAGGACCTGAGGCTCCCACTCTGCCAACCAGCTTTCCTGACCCTCATATTTGGGGCCTGACGATGATGTCCAGTTGTACTCTTGAGATCTTGTTAGAAGCCACATGCACCTCTGCTCTGCCCTTACATTTTGGAATAGCTGGCCCAACACTTGACAAAAATGCCCTTTTAACTCTTCTACAAGCAGGTGCCTTAATGTGTCTCTCTCCTTCATAAATATTAATTTCACAATATTCATTTTGAACACCTGTTTGTCCCAGGCACTAGTTGAAACACCATGGAAACCATGGATGGCAAAACAGACAAGGTGTTGGTCCCCTGGATGCCCACATTTTATTTGGGGAGATAGACAATAATAAAATAATGTCACAAGTACTACGTGATTTCAAGGAATAAAATTCTATAAAGATAAAATGCTAGTGGTGCAATGGTATAACAGGGGTCCCGAGTTATTCTGGGGGTTGAGGAAACCTTCCCAGAGAGGGTAAACTTTTAGCTAAGACCTGAAAGGTAAAAATGTTTTCCAAATGCAGAAGAGGGTGATCTCAGGTACAGCAAGCTGCATACCCAAAGGTTCTGAGGCAGGAGAGAGTGTGGTGCACTTGAAGACCAATGTGGCTGGAAGTTGGAGAGTAAGGCAGCTTATGTGCTCTGAGATGCAGACAGAAAGTGAAGCAAGAACCAGATCATTCATGACCTTGTGCACTGGGTCGAAGGTTTTTTCTTTTTTCTTTTGGTACCTGGGATTGAACCCAGGGATGCTTAACCACTGAGCAACACCCCCAAGTCTTTTTATACTTTGAGAGAGGGTCTCACCAAATTGCTTAGGGCCTTGCTAAGTTGCTGAGGCTGGCTTTGAACTTGTGATCCTCCTGCCTCAGCCTCCTAAGCTGCTGGGATTACAGGTATGTGCCACTGCACCCTGGTAAGTTAAAATTTTGATGATTCTGAGACAATAGAAACCTACTGGAGGACTTTTAGGAGGAAAGTGAAATGATTGATCAACTTATTCTTTTCCACAGTTCAGGCATTTTCATTATGTATGATTTGTTTTCATTTGTGTATGAAATAAGGGGAAAATATATATGTATTTGTAGAGAAATTAAATAGTCCTAGAATTGTCTACAAAGGCAATGTCTCTCAGTGATACACCTAAGTAGGAAAGGAGGGAGTGAGGAAAATTTCTACTTTTTATTTCATACTCTTGTATGCTGAGCAACTGTCCACACAAAATAGTGGCTTTGGATATGGTATGGAGCACAGATTAAAAAGGGGTAAGGAATGGACAGGGAGCTATTTCACTCGACTGGTGAAAGAARGTAACAATTATGGGACTGCTATTGACTTGTCCTTGGATTTGATTCCATCCTTTATGAAGTGACCAGAATAGAGTGACCGGATGCTAAGATGGAGAAAATATGTCCCAGAAGAAATGTACATCATTTGGCTCAGGAATCCTGAAATGGGAGCAAGAGTCATGTGCCTCACCTCTTGCCCCAGTGCTCTGCGGGACTTGGTCAGGGGCTGAGTAGTGAGTGTTGAGCCCTGCTGTGTGCCTGCTCCTCTATAAAGCACTTGACATCCTTGTCTCATTAACTCCATCTGTTAACACGGTGCTGGGCTCCATATGGTAAATGCTTAACGCATATTAATTATGTTTCTGTTTTTATTTCTTCGGGATGTTATATATGAATGATGGGAAGAAGGGCACTGTCTCCCCTTTATGGATGATAAAACCGGAGTCTCACAAATGGGTAGTTATGTTAGTTGGCTTTTTGTTGCTGTCAACAAAATACCTGACATGAACATCTTTGAGGAAGGAGGATTTATTTTAGTTCATACTTTTAGAGGATTCATTCCATGGTTGTCTGGCTTCATTGCTGTGGACCCAAGGTGAGTCAGAACATCATGGGGGGAGGGTGAGGCTAAGGAAAGCTGCTCAGCTCATGGCATCTGGAAGGGGAGAGAGGGTGTGTGCAAGGGGCCAGATATAAGATATACCCTTCCAAGACACTTCCACAGCAACCTGCTTCCTCCAACTAGGTCTCCCTTCCTAGTAGTCCATGCAGTCATCAATAGATTAATCCAATGATGAGGTCATAGCCTTCGTGATACAATCATTTTATAGAAGCTCCACTTCTGAACACATGAGACTTTGGGGCACATTCCAGATCCAAACCATAACAGAAGTGTCAGAAATATGATTCCCATTGAGGTCTATTGGCCAGCCAGGCTCTAGCATGATGGTAACTGTGACAATAATGGTGATTTGCTCACCATTAACAGTGAACCAATAATGAGGCCAAATTCTCTGTGGAGGTTATAACATTTAATCTCCCCATTGTCCATATGGACAATGCTATCAATATTACAGTAGATGGGAAGTCTGTAGCTTTGAAAGATTTAATGACTTGGCTGAGTTTACGCAACTAGAAGATAGGGTAGACCATATCCTGGGCCCTCTGACTTCATAGGCTGTTAGCCAGCAAAGAGGGGACCCCACAGGGTCCTTTACAGAGTATATTTGAGGCTTATATGCTACATATGGCTTTAGTTACTTATTCCTAGACCTTTTGACTAATCTCTGGACCAGATTAGCACCTCCTGCTGAGGGCTCTCCACTTTACCAGACTCTAATGCACATTACCATAAGATGGAACTCCCCCCTTCCCCACTACCTAGCTGGCTGCCTTTCTGTGATTAGGGAAGATTCTTGAAGCCATGTATGTCTTACCACTGCTGTATCCCCCTTACCGAGCTCAATGTTTGACAAAGAGTGGGTGACATACAGGAATTTCCAGAAATCATGAATAAATGGAAAGAAGCATGAAGGGTCTATGGCTCACAAACATGTCTGTATGCAGTTGGGGCTGGGGCAGTATGAAGGCAGAATTAATCATTGGGTAGAAAGATGTAGAGACAACTTGCTACTTTAAGGAACTAAGAGAAATTTAAAGTCCTGATATATGTATTTCTTTAGCACCAGGTCAGATGGGCTTCCAGGACAGAGAAAGGGATGCCCCCAAATAACTCATTTTGGTACCATGGAGTTAACTGAGATCTCTTCAAGGTAACAGGAGAAGAAGTCACTTTAAAGTCTGCAGTAGATCAGATGAATTCACTGATGTCTGGTACCAGCAGGAGTGAACAGTTGGGTATCAGTGAGCATGCTTAACTCCCAATCCAAATTGACACTGGCAGTTAGACTATCTATTATCTCTCCTAATTGCAACTTCAAAGCCATGGCTAGCTAAACTTTAAAACTTTGCATTCCTTTCATATCTCTCCCTCTTCTCTTTTCAGTGTAACTTCTTGTCAAGCTMCAGCAGCTCCAGCTACAGTCTAGCACGGCACAGCAATGGAGCTCCTTTCCTGGACTTCTATCTTGAGGATGGAGAAATCAAAACATTTCCATAAGAGTTTCTCTTGCGCCTTATTGGCCAGAATTGGTTCATAAGATCATTTCTGAACCATTCACAAATTCAGGGGAGGGTTTGCCATGAATCACCAGGAGTGGAAGTGGAATAGATGTTGGAAATTCAACCACATTCACCAGAAAATGTGGCAAACTAGTGAGAATTTTTTTTTCCTTTAAAGATATACTAACATTTTGCCACCTCTTGGGTAACAAAATATATAGGATGTCACTTTCTTTCCTAATAGGATATGTTGGCTCAGTCCCCTGTTATTCTCCTTGACCTTGGACCTCAAGGCCATGGACAGATCTGCCCAGGCCACTGGGGACCTTTTACTCATCAGGGCCTTGTACTYCACAAGGGACCAACCAGCCTGGGGACTTTCCTACAGACTAAGCGCTATTCTCCAAGCAAAAGAAATAGATTTTTCTCACATATTACAAATCAGTGCTCCATGACTAATGTTCATTTTTCCACTTATTCCTTTGTAATTTTTGGCCATGGATCTTCTCTGCCTATACCTTTATCTCACAGAGATAAGAATAATAGAAGGATAAGAAATCAATTAAATAGGAAGAAAATAAGCACAGCTAGTGTAAAGCAATTACCGCAGGGCTAATAACCTCCCCTGCAACAATTAGACAGTTATGTCAAATGAATTTTAAAACCATTAGAGTTGTTTTGAGCAGAAAAACTAGGTATTGCCTTTGCTGTCAGTCACTATGACTTCAAATCCTGGGAGCCTGATTAAGTTGACGAAGGACCAGCAACATCTTTATTCATGCACAGCTCTTGGCAGAATTTTTCACAGACAGTACAATGCCTCCCTTTTCCTCTTTTCTTCTTCCCTGCTGCCTTGCCTCACTTCCTTTCACATGTACTTATGGACGAGCTACCATATACCCAAAACTGACCTAGGTACTATGTAATCACAAATTTCTGAATTAGGTTGTGTGGGGATGGGGGGGCAGAGCAGACACAGAGAGAGACATGACAAATCTGTTTTGTGACTGGTGCACTGTATCATGCAGTCTGCATTGTTCACTCAGTCCAATGTTGATCAAGGTTACCAAGTGCCCATGGTGTACCAGGTTGGAATCCAGAAACTAGGAGGCAGCAGTCCTTGTATTCACAAGCTGTGGCCACACAAGCAGGGGATTGAACTACTACCAAGTTTTAAAAATAATATGAGCAAAGAGAGGTTCAGGTTAGGGAAATGAAGACATGATGTGCTTGTTGGCCTAAGGTTGCCAGGAACAGATCCACTATGGAGTTGTTAATGAAAATGAGACTCACAGGTGAGGGGAATGTTTGTTCATCAAACGGCAAATGGTTGATTATGGTTGCAGCAGGGGCAAGCAGTGGGCATCAATAGCTTACCCTGGAGTAGCCAGGGAGTCTTCAAAAAGGATAAGTCATCTTGTGCTAGCCAATATTAAATGAATGTAAAGCTTCAGTAAGTAAAACCATGTGCTATTCATGGCAGAAAAGCCAGGAATTCGGTTATTTTTACTTTCTCTCCTTTTCTTAATTATTTCAATCATTATTACCTGAAAACAAAATAAAACCATATCCAATATGAAGGGGCAAATGACAAGCTATTCACAACATATTAAAAACAGAAATAAGGTTAATGCATAAAGACTATCTCAAAGATTAAGAATATAGAAAATGAAAGCATTCCAACAAAAAATGAGTAAAAGAATTTGAATATGTACTTTGTTTTAAAAAATGGCAATAAACATAAAGTATGTTCAACCTCTTTTGTGAGGAAAGAAATGCCAAATAAGATGACAAAGGTTTTTGGCCTATTGATTTTGTAAGGACATATACAGCACGTCTGAGAACAGGGAGGTAGGGTTTACAAAGTTAGAACTTTGAACGGGTCCTTCTGCTTACTTAAGCTTGGCATTAGGAGTTTATTTAACCTAAAGAAATAAACACAAGAAACAGAATCAAGATAGTATGGGAAAGGAAAAAGCAGGGGTGGTGGAGGAAAGGAGAGAGAGAGAAGGAAGAGGAGAGATGAGTTGAATCTTAGGCCTGAGACATAGACTATACTGTAACAGAGCCCCTTTGAAATTGAAAGAGCTAAAATACTTTTCTGCAGCTTCCTGCTTGTTATTTTCTTGATGTCAGTCCAAGTTGAGAAGCTTTGCCCAAAGCCCAGACAGTGCCATCAAAGATTGAAAAAGAAATTGTGATGTGTTCTCTGCTTAGCTAAATCTACCTATATATATTCCCTGCCTTTTCTTTCTATATATCTTAACCATGTCTGTAGGAACTGCAAAGAGACAGTCTAGCTGTTTTCTACTCAGTGTTGGCCGAACTGCATTAAGGATCATCTTATCTTTTTACATCCTTTATTTCTTATGAGGGAAGGTGACTGAACATCCAGCCAGCAGAGAGGGTTTGGGGTGGGTGTGGGACCTCAGGTAGGTTCCCTGGCTTGGCTGCTATAAGAATATCAAGAACTAGGTAGAAAACAAATTCTTCACAGAACTCCACCTGGGCCTGGCCCTGGTTCAAGAGGTGGAGTATGCACTGTCCCCCAGAGAAAGGAGCCACCATGTTCTTTTTCCCAGGGAAAAGTAGAGCTAAAGGATGATCATCGGGCTTCCTGTGAGACAGGAATTGCTTCTGCAGAAACTCAAGGACAAGGGAGGTCACGACTAGAGTTCACTGTTCTGTCTGGAAGTGAGGAGCCAGGAGCAGGCCTGAAGGAGGTCTTATTTGATGAGACCTGGGTGAAACTCGCTTTCAAAATCATTTCCCTTAATCAGCAAACAAATTATATTTTGCCTTTTCAAGGACACTTAAAGAAAAAGGACAAGTTAGGCTAAAGGCAAGTTTGATAAGTCCTTGAGTTAAATGGAAAAAAAAAAAAGCTTGAATTAATATAGGAAGAACTCTCAGACAGTGAAAGATGTGAGATGTGGCTAGATACCTGTCCTTGCGGACTGTGAGAGTCACCTTATGTGCTGCTGCATCCACCCAGCTGAGTCTGGGCTGTGCCCCCAGCAGAGTGGAAATCAATCAGAAGTGAAGCCAGGGCAGTGCTGCTGCGGAAATCAATGCCTCAGTTGCCTTTGATCACATGAGTTGCTCTTTCCAAATGCTTTCTTGCTCTCTCCTCTTCCCCCAGCCCCTTCTAACATTGTTGCTAAGACTTAGCTTTGATTGGTTATCGAAATAAGCTTCATTTTCCCTTCAAGCATCCTCCCACCTTCAGCTCGGTAGAAAGGAGGATGGTAAATTGAAATTAAATGTGGATGTTAATTTGTCGATTCAGCAGCGAGACTGGACAACATCCAAGCTCAGTGATGTTAAAATCAGATGTTTTTGGAGTTACTCTGTTCCTGCCCAGCTCTACCTCTGATGAGGAGCAAGTTACTTTGCCTCTTTTTGCCCTAAATCTACTCTTACCAAAAATTGAGGGGTGGGATGTGTAATGGAAAATGTTTCTCCCAGATTTAGTATTTTATGAGACTCAAGATAAGCAACAGAGAGCACAAAAAGGTGATTCCTACAATATCAAGAAACACTTGAACAACATTCAAGCAGCTTAATAATTTTAAAAAAATATTAAAATAATGAGATATTTTCTTACCCTTGCAGTTTGGGAAAGATTTAATAAAAAGAAAATGGGTCTCTTTGGCACTGGGCTGAAGAAGGGAAACCAATGCTTTTGGCTGGAGCAGACCTTTCCTGAGGATCCTTTGTGAATATACATCAGAAGTCAAAATGAGCATCATCTTTGATCTAAAAACTCCACTAGAATGAGTTCTGCAGACATAGTCAGACTCGTGTATAATTTTAATTACAAGGAGTTTTATCACAGTATTTGTACTACCAAAAATCAAAGGCTGATCTTCCATTGTCCAGGACACATTATGTGACACATCTTGGCAGGTGTGGGGGCACCCAAAAGTGGCCCACATACACAGCTAACATGGGTCTCCCTGTGGTCCCTCACCCTATCCACACATGGAGGACTACTGTTTCACCCAGTGAGATCCTGCCTTGAACAGGGTGCTATGGTCATCTGTCCTGAAAGACAATCTGTGACCCACCATTGGCTGCAGGACCAAGTGGACATCTTAGGGCTCAGTTGCCCAGGCCATTCACAAGGAACCTACCCCAGCCATTATCAAATTCTTTCTCAATGGAACTGCCTGCCTGTCTGCTCAGTGCCCTTACTCACTCTGATCTCTGGTCCCCAGGACGCCTGCTTCCTCCCTACTTTTCCTTCTCCTACCTGAATCCTTCCCTCCTTTAATGATGGCTTCCAAGAAATGTCTGTTGCCATTACCTGACCCCAGTCAATGCCCACATACTCTCATATATTAGCGTGTACCAACTATCTTGTTCAGTTTGTTTTGAGTATACCTATCTTTCCATTTATAAGATGCATGAAGCTACTAGTTTCATATTATGTATTTGAAAGGTGGTATGATAGGTTGTTCAATTAAACCTGGATTTCAATCCTGTGTGATGTTGGATAAGCTACTTAACCTCTTGGATTTGGCTTTTTATCATTCATAAAATGAAGACTTTGGTGCTTTTTTCACAGGATTGTACTGTGGAAATGGGGTCATTGTTAGCCATGTAGCACAATACCTACTCTTTAGCACATTCTCAGTGAATGTTAGTTCTCTCTTCCTGACTCTCCTTGGGAGGAGTTGGCTTAGCTCATGGTAGGTATATCTTAAATCTTAGGACCTGGACAGTTCCTCAAGGACATCAAGAGCAATGAGTGATCAGAAGGGGAGCAATGCAGTCCCTGGAAAAGTAGAAAAGCCCCCCTGTGGGTCTGGCCTGCTGGCAACTTACCTGATGATCGTCAGAGGAATAAAGTACACTAGGAAGGCCACAATGGTCATGTATGGGGTCCAGTACGAGTCATCAGGCCACAGGGCCCAGCACTGCACTTCACCATTGGAGAGTGTCCTTTTCCCGAATATGATCAGGGTGGGAATAGAGAACAGGAAGGAGAGGCTCCAGGCAACCCCGATGAGGACCTTAGCTTGCTTTTCTGCTTAGAGGAAAAGGAGAGATGCCTGAGTACCTGGTAATATCTTCAGGAACACACTTGGAGTCTATTGTAGAAAAGGACTTCTGTGAGATGGCCACTTGGACCTCTCAGAACCTCTTGCAGCCTCAGTTTCCTCATGTGTAAAATGGGATGCTAGCACCTGTTGCCTATAACGTATATCTCCTACCAAAAGTATAAGTTCCCACTTCCCTATGTTCCCCCAACACTGAGAGGATTCTTACTCTAAAKATTGTTATCTGGTTGGTGGAATTTTCTGTCTAAGTGTTTAATCTTGCAATTCTTTAGTTATTAGTTAAAAATGAGCATTTTTATATATATCTTCTGTTTATTTGTGTTTGCTTCTTTATCTGTTTATTTCTTTTGCACATTTTGTTTTTCAATTTGTATGCTCTTATTTCTTTGCCACAGTACTGGGAATTTATGTAAGGGTGGCTTTACCATTGAACAACATCCCCAGCCCTCTTTATTTATTTATTTTTATTTTGAGACAAGATCACACTAAGTTGCCTAGGTTGGCCTCAGACTGGCAATCCTCCTGCTTCAGCGTCCTGAGTTGATGGGATTATCATGACTGATTTTTGTCAACGTTCTTTATAAAAGGGATATTAGTTCTTTGCCTCATATGTTCATATGTTTTCAATTCATCCTTTTGCTTTTAATTTATGAAGTTTATTATTTGCATAAATAGTTTAATAATTTTGATATAGTAAAAATCTCTCCTTGTTTTCCTTATTGTTTCTGCATTTGGTATTATTCCTAGAAGCAAATTTCCCTGGCTAAGATTTATTCATATATATTCTTTTGATATTTTTTATGTTTAAAAGGTTTCTTTTTCAATTTAACAGGAACCTTATTTGTAATTAACTGTGACATGTGGTAATTTAATTTTTTTAAGTATGTAGAGAGCTATTACAACTCTATATACTGACTCATTCTTTCCAAGCTAATCTGAAAGTTCATATGCTTTATATATACTATTATGATTCCAGTATCTTATTGTTCTAATGATCAAAGTTTGATTTGTGTTTTAATATCTGGCAGTGCATAAATCTCTTCACTATTATTGATATTTTTCTAATTATTTTTATATTTATTTTTCCTAAAGAGCTTTACAATTGTCAACTTCTCTGGAGTTGCTGACTAAGGAAGCTACCACTTTAATAAAAAGCAGTAAAAAATACATTTACTATTCAAAGTATCTGTGTCAGTTTGTATCCTTGTCAATAGTAAATGAAATTACCACATTTCCTCACCTTCTTGCAACTCTCCAACGACATTCATTACACTTTATTCTAAAGTTCTGCTTGCTCTATTAACTTTGTTTTCCTTAGGAGTAAATTCTGTGGAATGATATTTTAAATGTATGATCTATTTTCCACAGTTTGGCTTCTGTCACTTTTCCTTAATAATATTTGATTGCTCCTCATCTTTGTCGCCAAGATTTTCAGTTACATTGCTCATTTTTTCAGTTTTCACAGCCAGCTTGTGGGAAGGTGGCTTAACACTGGGCATGGAAGAGGGTGGCCACTGCTTGTGGTTGGAGTTGTGGTCAGTTGGTCCTACGGTGAGGTCCCCACCATCTCTCCAAGGCTTCCCACAGCCCCAGTTTGTCTCATTGAACTCAGCATTCTCACTGAGCTTGCTTATTTGAAAGCAGAGACTCCATTTCTGCTGCCTGTGTGGAGTGAAGGAGGGCAGCTGGAAGGGAAATGTACTTAACCCTCCATATTGTGCTGTAGAAATCACTCTTTCTGTTTCCTGGGTCCTCTCCTGCTCTGGGCACGTACAGAGTCTGTTCTAGGAGCACTCTGAATACATCTGACATATTACTGCAAGCATCATCTGGGGTTCTGTGGGCTGACCCATCTGCTTCTTTCTATCAAGGATCTTCACTATTTCTGGGTCAAGGAGGATTTCCTTTGTTTTCAGTATAATAATCAATAAAAAAATATCTTTTTCATTTTTTTTCCTGTAGTTTTGGGGTAAGAACTATGAAGTGCTAGTTTCTAGAAAGTGAGCAAGTTGAAGTGGGAGTGTTCATTTCTTTGCAGATATGCTTGTCAATAGGGCTCTAAAGGACCTTGGTGGAAACACAGAGTCAATGTCAAAGATGGGTCCTTAGCCATCCCTGGGAACAGTAAGCATTTTCCCAGGTACCTCAGCTTTTTCTTCTATACCCCTTTGAACAACAAGACCTATGAAGTGGGGAAGGAAGTACTGAAGGAGAACAAAGAGAGGACAAGAAAAAGAAGGAGGAAAATAAGAGCACTATTGTTAAGAATAGAATATCAATGAAAATAATCCCACCCTCATTCAAGGAAGATGCCTCATGAAGGGAGGCTTGCTTACCTCCTTGCAGAAACTTCATGGGGTAGACAATGGCATGGTATCTGTCTATGCTGAGGGACACCAGGACGTAGGTAGAGGCATAGAGCAGTACAACCTAAAAATACAAGTGAGATGAGTTATGTGACGTCATACAGGTGAGGAGCACATGTAATGGAAAGAATTGTCTTTTATGCTATTTAGAAATCTGGGATGAGGGCTGGGTTGTGGCGGGGGGGGGGCGCTGACATTCCCTGCTGAGGAGCAGGTTGCAGTTCTTGATGCTGGAATTTGCATTGCTACTGGTGATGGGTGAGAATGCTTTTAGCTCCCACTCACTCATTCAACTGGCTTCTTGGAAATTCCATATTACAGGATCAGTCAGTCCCTCTTGACATTTGCATGGTACATTTATTTGTAATTGACTTTTAAAGCTAAATTAATTTTCTCTGCCACAATTGACATTCCAGAATAATTAGAAACAAAGGTTCATTTGCCTTTTATCAGTGTGAATAGTTGAGAAATGATAGAAGGGTTCCGGTTTCAGTAGGTCCATGTGCTGTTCTGAATCATTTATCATCAGCAGCACCGACACCATCAGAGAGCTCCCCTGCTTCGTCCACTTCTCTAGCAGAGCTGTTCACTAGGGTCAGTTTCTGAGTCTCCTCTCCCTCCTCCACACTGCCTCTTTTATTAACCTTACCTACACCCTTTAATTATCTTGTGCAGTTTTATTTGCATACTCTGCAGAAGAAGAAATTGGGATATAAGAAATTAATATCTCTTCTGCAAGTGACATATTTAAAATGTAATTAAATGAAATATCTCTGAAAGGATGATCATGGTGGAAAATTGTCAGGTAACTCGAAACTTCATTTCTACCAAGACCCCAGCTTTTCTCTGCTTTGTAAACTTAGGATCAAGTATAGAGGGGGTAGACGAGTAAAGAACACTGAAGACTGAAGTCTAAAGATGAGTGTCTTTCTTCTTGGTATTTACCTATGTGCTGAATTTGTACCTTTTTGTTCTTCCTCCAGCTCAGACAAGTAACAACCAACTGTAGTTGCTCCTTAACTTACAATGGGGTTACACCCCAATAAACCCATTGTAAGTCAAAAAGACATTAAGTTGGTCATGCATTTAATATATTTAACCTAGCTCAGCCTAGCTTGCCTTCAATGAGCTCAGAAGACTTAACGTTATTAGCATGCATTTGGGCAAGATAATCAAACATGAAGTTTATTTTACAATAAAGTGTTGAACTCCTCACTTAATTTATTAAGTACTCTGCTGAAAGGAAAAACAGAATGGTTGTATAGGTATTTTTTGCACCACTATAAAGTCTAAAAATTATAAATTAAATCATGAGAAGTTGAGGACCATCTGTATACCGTATCCCCCCCCCCCTCTTGGTAATACTACCACAAATGCACCTCAGCACTTAATTTGTGGAAAGTGCCACAGGGAGAGGAAAGTGAGGAATGTTCAGATTGAAGGCTCCCCTGAGAGACATAAACAGGAATTCTACTCTTGTGTAAAGGAGACAAATAGAGATAGAGAAAATGGATGGCTTAGTTGAAGGGAAAAATCAGACATTTGTGTCCTTCGAGAAAAATGAGGCTTCTATGTTCAGTGCATGAATTCAGAGTTATTGAGGCTGACCACACACAGCGGAGGAGGTGGCATTGTAGAAAGGCAACAAATGGGATGGAAGGTCATGGAAAAGGTCATAAGAATCTTGAACATCTGAAGCTGCCTTGAGTCAGGACCTGGAGCAAGAGGAAGGATCACCAAAGTCGGGACTAGGGCACGGGGCATAGGGCCAGGGCACAGAACAGAGCAACAGAAAATGTTAGCAAAAAGAGATTAACTTTGAGACACTATCAAAATGATATTCAACTTCAGAGATGAAACATCTTCAAACATCTAGGCAGGGTAAAAAAAAAAAAGTTTATCTAAAAAAATGCATTTTGAATTATCACGCTTCATCTCCACAAAAATAAATGCCAGAGAACAGTATAACAACATGTTCAGAGTTTTGAAAGAAAAATTATGATCCAAGAATATTGTAAATATAACTTCTGTGCCAAGGCACAGTACATAGAAGGGAGGAAATTTAATACCACATACCACATGCTCTTCCTTAAATTCTCCTTGAGGAAATATTTGAGTTGATTGAGAATTATTTCAAAATTAAAAACTCCAGAAGAGGAAAGGGGATAGAATAGCAACAACTATGGTAAGTAAAGATGTTAGGAAAATATAAAATGTTTACAAAATAATTATAAATGTAGTTATGAAAAATTTCAGGGAAAAATCTGGGAGTGGAATGAGGGAAGAAAGTAACAGGAAAGAAATCATGTTAAATTTCCATTTAGACATTTTATCTATCTCTTTTGCCTGTATTCTGATGTAGATATAGTAAATCTAAAAACTAAATATAGCTATGATGGAGTGAAATAAAAGTAGAGAAAATTAATGTATGTATCCTATAACTGCTCTAACGGATTCCATAAGTCTGGTGACTTAAAAAAACCCACAAATTTATTCTCTCCACAGTTCTGAAGACTGGAAGTCAAAATCAGTTCTACTAGACCCAAATAAAGGTCTATGAAGGGCTCTAGACCTTGCAGAAACTCTGAGGGAAAATCCATCCCTTGCCTCTTTCAGCTTTAGCTAACTGCCAGCATTCCTTTGCTTGTGGACACATCAATCAATGTCTGTCTCTGTGATTACAGTACCTTCTCATCTATGTGTCAAATCACCCTCTGCCTCCTGCTTATGAATCCCTGGACTAATTCAGGATAACCTTCTCATTTCAAGATTTCTAATTTAATCACTCATGCAAATCTCTTTTGTCATGCATAGGTTTCAAGTATTTTAGTGTAGATAATCTAGGAGGGATTATTTTTTCAGCCAACTATAATTAATAACCAAATAAAAACAAATAAGGAACAAGAAAAGCTTAACAAAGGAAGGTTAAAATGAAGAGAGTAAAATAATGATAAACACTAGTTTGCACAATTCATACGAATGACTTAAGCTTCATTCTAAAACTGACTATTTTAAAAGAAAATATTCCCTAAGATCCAACCATATACTGTTTGGAAGAGAAACCACTAAAATCAAATACTATCTGAGTTTAAAAACAAAGGAATGGTCACAAGTATATAAAGAAATTAAAAACTAAAAGAAGACCTTCATTATAATATTGATATAATACAAATTAGATTCAAAGCAAATGATATTACATGTGATATAGGGATTATTTATATTGACAAAAATATGACCTATAATGGTAATAGAACATTCATAAACTTATATGTAATAAGTAACATCACATTAAATGTATATAATAAAACATTACTATTTCTACCGAAGAAAAAATACAAGCAAGAAAAACCAAATTTTGTAATATAAGAAAGATACACATTATTGTAAAAATCTAGACAACATTTCAACAATTGGTTATATCCCAATCGACCAAGAAAGAAAATTGCTCAATAGTTTCCAAAAAGTAGAACTTAAGCAATTCATATATTTCGAAAAACAAGCAATGGAGCTGCAATTAGTAACATGKTTTTTTTTTCTTTTTGAATACCACTTGGAAATTTAAACATCCTCATAATTAACTCAAGTCAAGAAGGAAATCAAAGTACAATTATAGTCAATTCATAAATGTCAACAATGAAAACTCTACATATCAACAACATATGGGATAGCATTCGGAGAACAGATGGCAGTTTGAGGACATATGTCTGAATTCTCACTWCCCCGCCCCTTAATTCTGACAGAAATGACCTAGGAAATATGAAACGAAAGAAAATTTTGCACAGAGAAGTGAGATTTAAATGCTAGAAACAGAGAAATTTTACTGAGAAAAATGCCAGATTGGATTCATATAAAAGAGGATTTCTGCACTGGTTTAAAAAAATAGTTTTTAGAACAATTTTATATTTACAAAAACACTGCAGATAGTAGAGAGAATTCCTATTTCACCCGTTTCCTACCTACACACTTTCCCCTATTATTCATGTCTTGCATGAGTATGGTCCATTTGTTTAAACTGATGAATCAATATTGATATATTATTATTAATTAAACTCCACGGTTTTTATTAAGGTTCACTCTTTGTGTTGTGCAATTCATTGCAGTTTGACAGTTTATAATGCCATGTGTTTGCCATTACAGTATTTTACCAAAGAGTTTCACCGATGCAAAATTTCCCTGTGCTTTATCTATTCATCCCTCCCTCCTCCAAATCTCTGATAACCACTGATTTTTTTAAAACTGTCCTGTAGTTTTTCCTTTTTTAAGAAGTAGCGTAATTGGAAGTACATAGTACATAAGCTTTTAAGACTGGACTCTTAGAAATGTGCATTTAATATTCCTCTATATGTTTTCATGGCTTGAGAGTTCATTGCTGTGAACAAAATACCCAATAATAATAGCTTAGAGGAAGAAAAGTTTATTTTGGCTCATGGTTTTGAAGGCTTCAGTCCATGGTTGTCTGGTTCCATTGCTCTGGTCTKAGGGGAAGCAGAAGATCATGGTGGTGGGGCATGATAAAGGAACTGCTTAGTTGTGGTGGCCAGGAAGCAGAGAGAGAATAAGAAGCTAGGGACCAGATATATAATTCCCAAGACATGCCCCTGTGACCTACTTCCTCCAGCCATGTCTCACCTGCCTGCAGTTACCACCTTGAGTCCATTCAAATGAATTAATTCACTGATTAAGTTACAGCTCTTGTAATATAATCATTTTATCTTTGACCATTCTGCATTGTCAAAGATAAGCCTTTAGGGAGGACATCTCATATCCAAACCATGAGATTCTGCTCCTGATCCCCAAAAGCTCAAATCCATATCACCACACAAAATGCATTTAGCTCATCTCCAATAGTTCAAAGTCTCCTAGATACTTAAGGCAAACTCATGGCTCTGAGACTCTGTAAAAATTAAAAGCAAATTATATACATCCAATATGTAATGGTACAGAGTGAACATTTCCATTCTAAAAGGGAGAGAAAGGGGTATAGAGAAAAGGATGCAACAAAAACTAGACTGGAGCCCAGCCAGGTATTTTCTGTAGCTCTGCCTCTGGCATCCAGGACATATG